CAGTGCAGGTGTGTTCCTTCCTCATTCAACTTTGAAGTTTTCAGTGTGATCACTTACTGATGGGCCTGCTGCTGCCCAATCAGTAGTCTTCCAGCATATTCCACTTAATCATAATACCTCCTGAGTAAATAGGAACTTGCTGAACTAATAAACTACACTGACTGGCCCCTTGACTGGCCCTCCCCCCACTCCTTTTGGTCCGCAGATCAGAGTAAAGGCATCTCCTCCAGCACTGTCCCTGCCACCCAACAGCTATTCTCCCAGGGCAACACATTCCCTCCTACCCCCCGGCCGGCAGAGAATTTCAGGTGAGACCCATCTGTGTGTGCTGCTTTAAGGGCAACTGAGCGATTCAGTTGCTGAATCTAAGTTTTATTCTTCCCTAGCTTTCTCTGGTTATTTCAGACAAAGCAGTGGAACTTAAAGGGCCTAGGATGAGGCAGGCTGCTTTTCTTCTTCCTGTTCCTTTGCTCCCGTCCTATTGACATGTTCAAGGTTCCATCTCTGTGTGTCCTGATTAGTATGTGATTGTCAGTCTTTCTGGTCTTTTCTAAATCCTGTTACCAAGTTTTCCTCAACCCCAGGGAAGTCAAGGCAATCTAAAGTTAGTACTAGATTGTCCTGCGTCTATGATAAACACATCCTTTTAATCCTTTACCTTAACTGTTTGTTCACTCCTAGAAATAGTGGTCTGGCCCCCCCTGTAACCATCGTCCAGCCATCAGCCTCTGCAGGGCAGATGTTGGCCCAGATTTCCCGCCACTCCAATCCCACCCAGGGAGCAGCCCCAACTTGGACCCCTAGTACCCGCCCGGGTTTCTCTGCGCAGGTAAAGTTTCTCATCTGTCTGTCCCCTGTGTATTGCTTTTTATTTGGTTGATTGGGCTTTTTTTGACATGTAAAGTTATTGCTGTTTATCTTATGTACCTTTATATCTTTGTTGGGAGCAGCTAGATAATTAAAAATCATGGATAATCCAAAAAAGTCTCAGAGACTATATATGGTTTTTACATGTTCACTTTAAGTCAGAATTGCTCACATAGAATACCTTCAACAGGTTTGATTTTCAGATTTGTTTTGCAGTAGATTCTAAGAGCTTTCCACTTTGGTTAGGACTATAAGAAGTCTAAACAAGGGAGAAAATTAATTACAGATATACACACAGTGATGTCTATTTACAAAAAAAAAATGTTGAAAAGTCCTTATATACTATATATGTGTATATATGTTAAGCCCGAAGCTAATATTCTTTCATATATTGACATATAATTATATTAATAATGACACACAATACATATAACAATATATAACACATATAACATATATTAATGATGATAATATTTTAGATTTAAAGAGCCAAACCAAAAGTAGGCTCCAGAATTGTTATATGCATTATGATCTCAGTTGTATAAAAAATGCGTAGGAACCTTGGCTGGGTTGCTCAGTTGATTGGAGCCTTGCTCTGTACACTGAAAGGTCTCAGGTTCAATCTCTGGTCAGGGCACATACACACCTAAATTTTGTATTCAGTCCTTGGGCAGGGTGCACACAGGAGGCAGCCGATGTGTGTTTTTCTCTCTCCTCCCACCCCAGTCCCTTCTTCTCTCTTTCAAATCAATTAACATGGCCTCAGGTGAGGATTTTTAAAAATACATAGGAAAATAAAAACTGGAAGAAATTATCCACCATGAGCCTTTGGTAATAGAGTTATGAATAATTAAAAAAAAATTTCCCTTCACTTTGCAAATATTCTACAGTGTGTATGCATTACTATTATGGTGAGAAAAATGCTACTAAAAAAAGACATCATTAGGAACAAATGAATGCAATAGAGACTAAAGTGGAAAGTGTTTTCCTTTAAATATATGATACTATACTGTTACTAAATGCTTCTGTTACTATAGAACTTCATTACAACTTATAAAATGCTTTTATTTAAATCATTTTCATTTAATCATTGCAACTGTCAGTATATACTTTTATTAATTCCATGGTTCTTTACTTTTTGCAGTTTTTGATAGCTGCCTAAATATAGTGTTAAGGGAGATTGGGAATTAACTGGAAAAAATATACAGTAGGAAATAAGTGGTGAGCTGGGTTTAAAAGAGTCCAGTGATTGACAAAGAAGATTGACTCTTGTAGGAATGGAATGTGCAATAATTTAAATGTTCCATTTGTTGTTCTCTACTCCTTTCTCTCTTTCAGCAGGTGGCCACCCAGGCTACAACCAAGACTCGTTCTTCCCAGTTTGGTGTGGGCAGCTTTCAGACACCATCATCCTTTAGCCCCATGTCCCTCCCCGGTGCTTCCACCGCATCACCTGGTGCTGCTGCTTATCCTGCTCTCACCAGTCGTGGATCCAACTTTGGTGAGTTCAGACCAGAAGACAGTTAAAAGGAAAGTCACAGTAGTTAAAAGGGTTTGCTGTACATTAAGCTAATTACGGGAAAGGGCAGGGTTTTTGGTATTTATTAACCTGCCCATATAAGAAGACTTTCACACATATGACAGAAAGCATGTAATGTATTATGAATTTGTAATAATATGCAAATTTAAAGTGAACAGAGGACTTTGGAACAGTTTCCTAGAGAAGAAAAATTAATTTGGGTTGGGTTTTAAAATCGAAGAAGCATTAATTGCAAGAGAGATGGGCAGAAGGTTTCTAGGTAAAATTAATGGCTTACATGTAGTTATGTGCTAGGTTTTCCTATTTATTCTTCTCTCTAGCTCCTGAGACTGGACAGACTGCAGGACAATTCCAGACACGGACAGCAGAGGGTGTGGGAGTCTGGCCACAGTGGCAGGGCCAGCAGCCTCATCATCGTTCAAGTTCTAATGAACAGCATGTTCAACAGACATCAGCACAGCAAACTGGCCAGCCTGAGGTCTTCCAGGTGAGAGGGTGAAAAGACATCAGAAACTCAGAAACTGGAAGAGAAAGGGTTAGGGAGGAGAGACAGAGAAGGAAGCGTGCGTAGGTTAGGGTGTGATTGGGGGTATGGGAGAAGAGAGTGGGACATGTAGGGCTGAATGTCATTAATTGGAAAGATTGTAAACTTAGTGTGATGCACAGCCTTTAAACCTTTAACTAGACCATAGTTAGTGTTGTGCAGCACCGTGCAGGATATCAAAGAAAGCAGTCTTAGCCTACTCAAGGAGAACCACATCCCCACTTTACAGAAGCTTGGGGATACGGCTTTAAAGTCTATTTACAGAAGTCCTGAGGGGACTGTGGGACTGAGTGGAGTCATCTTAGGCAAGACAAAGGAAGAGCTACACAGGAAGGCAAAACAGATTTTGGTAGAAAACAAAGAGGATAAGAGATATTTCATTGTATAATGAGAGGAGGTTATATGGAATGTGGCAAGCAGATTTTTTCCCTTTTGAAAATACTGAGGACTAGAAAAGAGGGAAATGTGGAACGAACTGTAGGGGGAAGCTGGAGAGTGGACTAGGAAAAAGGTTGCCATCTAAATGAGTCAGAGCTGCTGAAACTAAGGAAGGTCAAGAGAAGTCAGCACAGCAGAAACTCTGTGGGGCCAGGGATGATGGTTCAGGAGGATGTTGGAAAGGGAGCTTGATAAATGTAAGGGATCAAGGTGTGCAACCCAAACTTTTTTTCTCTTACCAGGAGATGCTTTCCATGCTGGGAGACCAGAACAACAGCTACAACAATGAAGAATTTCCTGATCTAACTATGTTTCCCTCCTTTTCAGAATAGAACTATTGGGGTGAGGACAAAGGGGTGGGGGAGAAAAGTCACCATTTGTTTTTAAAAAACAAATCTTTTTGTAAACAGAATAAAAGTTCCTCTCCCTTCCCTTCCCTCACCCCTAATGTGTACCCCCTTTCACTTCTGGCCTTTCCCTTGCCCTCCTGCCTCTCTGACATAATTTATAGATGCAATGGAATGAATCCTCAAGGCTTTGCAGACCCTTTGAAAAACAGGCTGGATGAGGTTAAAAATACCTTTCCTTATGTCTCCTGACCAGACATAGATGATGTGTGCTAGGATCAAGAGGCAGGTTAGAGAACCTGGCATCCACTATTTGCCTTGTACTATGGCTTGTTTTTGGAAAGAAATTCCGAATAAGGTGGTGGAGAGGAGAAATGTCCTCATATTTGAGGATCATGAAACACGGTAGGTATATATGGGGTTGAAAGAAGTGAGAATATGTTCTTTCTGCTGCCTGTGAGCAGTTCCCCTGGAGAGAAATGTGGGTGCAGAAGTGAGAGAAGAGTGTGTGTGTGTGTGTGAGTGTATGTGCACACACATGTGTTTCTGGTTTTGTTTCTTTCTCCCTATTAGGGGGTTATGCAAAATTTGTCCCAGATTTTATCTTTGTCTTTCTGTGTTATTCAGAGAATCCTAAAGAGTTAAATCTTCCAGGTATTTTCCACTTAATATTGCAGCCAAAGAGTATTTAAATAAATGTCTGTGCTGCACTGCACTTATATCTGTGCCCAGCCAATATGCGACTGTAAGCAAGTGTATAAAGTCTTATGTTGATACGCTTGGTCTCTCAACAGACCCAGATAAAGCTGGGTCATCCCTGCGTTTGGTGCTCTCGCCTCATATGGAAGATCTGCAGACCTTACAGAAACAGGCGGGCAGGATGAACACTTTTAACCCCACACTTGGCCATAAAGACAATGCTGCATTTTTCTGTCAGAATTACATGTGTGTGATCTGTGGAGGTTATTTCTGCATGGAAACTCAACTTCTTGGATTAGCAGTCCAGTGAAAGCCCTCACTTGCAGAGTTTAAGCCAAATACTAAGCCTTCTTACAAAGTAGCCTCTTTCATCTAATTCAAAGTATCCAGCCTAGCAAGAAACTGAGGTTTAGGTCTCTTCTGGGCCTACAGTTGTTTTCTCTTTGCTCCCTCTGCAGTCTTGAGATTGGATTTTGCTGTATAGTGCAAGTGTAATAAATCCATGTGATAGATGGGGCCTGGACTCCCGTGCTGACAGGGTCACTTGGTGATTAACTATAGCCATATAAGTGTGGATACAGGTTACTGCCATCACTCTCTGCCTTCCTCAGGTAACAGTCATGTGTATCAGCTTTTTTAAAAAAAATTGGCTCAGGCCAGTATCTTAAGTGCAAGAGTAATTAGTAAGGAGAAGACATTTTAAATGTAGCCATAGGGGACTGAGGAGCATAGATGGCCTTGGAGAGGCTGAGAGAAGGTCATGGGGTTTCCCTCCCTTTTGTCTCAAGTCTGGTGCCAGGTAGTGGAGTGGAAAAGGAAACAGTTTATTTTTTTATTCTATGTGCACACATACAGTATACATATATATATTTATATTACAATGTTAAGAAACCAAAAAGTTGAGTTTCCAATGAAATCCTTGTTTTTAATAATCGCCTGTTTTTAAATGTGATCAGGACTATAATATTGTACAGTTATGAGGGCTTTGGGGAGGGGAGGGAGAAGATGCTCTGGGGGTTTTTGCTTTTCCTTCAGGGTTTTATTTTTGATTGTTTTTTTTCTTTGTTGGCCATTTCTGTACTGCTGGCATCTCTGCTGAGCCTTACAGTGGCAAAAATAATGACATGTAGCAAGTATTTTAAAACAAAATATTTTTCCTTTTGTAAACTTTGTGTTGTGTCATCTTAATTGCGGCTTTATTATTCCTTTGCAGCTCATAAACAACAAACCCTCACAACTAGTTGAACCCATAGCTTTAGCTCCAGATATACAAACATTAAGCACAACATATCTGTAATTTCACATGTGGGGAGATCATAAGGCTCTGATCACTCAGCATTCCTTGGTTGTCCTCCTGATACTGACTCATTCTCAGTGAAATCAGCAGGGACATCTGACCATGGCATGGGGGTTGGGATTGCCCAAGTCCTCAGGAGGGGAGAATTAGGATTTGAGACCAGTCGGGCACATCTGGATCTATTCCCTCCGCGTGTTCTCTTCTGGATGAAAAGGAATTAGGGATGGGGAAATTTAAATTATTCAGGTCTGGACCTGGGTTCCCTCTAGGTTCATTAGCAAATCTTAAAACACATAGGTATAAATCTGTGTTCTTGAGACTCTATTGTATGTAATCCAGCCAGAAACAGAATCTACATCCTGCATATTGTCCTTTCAATTCCAAGGACCCTCTTTTCTTCTTCCCCCACATCTGTGTATGGAGTTTGGGAGTGTGGCCTAGGGACTGAACTAGACTCATCAGTCACATGCCTGGATATTGGGGGAAGTATGTGGACGAGCTCATGACCTGAGGTGGGGATTTCAGTAATTGAGATGGATAATGTGCATCAGGCATTTTATCATCAGAGTTTTAGCAAAAAAGAAGTCACATGTGAGTCACATGGCATTGATTCATGTGCTGTCATAAATTACCAAGAGTACAGTTTTTGGTTACTTTTAAAACCGGTTTCACCTGGATTTTCTGGGCATATCCTTCCTCAGCAAATTTAGGCTGGAAGAGCTGGCTGTTCCTGTGTGTGGAAGAAAGGACAACGGTTAGCCAACAAGCTTATAAAATATAAATTATTTCGGGGCCCATGATTTCTCTTATTTGCATATGGTCTTCTAGCCTTTTGTGTTTATTACCTCGTCTCTGATGTGAGTGTTAGGCAAATTCAAAAGCAAATTTCAAAGTTGGAGAGACGGATAACAGGAAAAGATATAATCCCCCAATATAATATGTAAAAGAATGGGAGAGACCAGGACTGTGTCCTCTAGCCACCAAGCCCCAACTTGAATAATGTGTATTGAGGTCTATTTTTGTCTCCCCTGGAAGACAAATCACCCTGGCTCACACACTCCCGCATGCATACAGAACCTGCAGATTCACTGCCTCCTTCCCTCCTCCCTAATCCCCCTTCTCAGCATTTCTATCTCCGCCTCCCTTCCCTATCCAAATTTTCCAGCCAGCAGCTGAGACTGACTTCCGCAATTCCGATGGAATAAATCCAGCACTCCCAGTCGCCGACATTATCCACACTGCCCTGCGGAACGGAACCCAGAGAGCAGATCCCCAGCAGCAGGTAACATTTTCAACTTCCTAGATCTTCTAGCTTTTTATTTCTGGCAATTCAACATTTTAGAAGTATTAGGGATGGAATGACGTGGGGATCAAAATGAACTTCGTAGGCCGTGTGCATGGAAACACTGATGCCCTTCTTTGGCAATTTCCTGGCCACATCTGCCTGGAAATCTTTTAGGATTCCTTCTGTGATTTGTATGTATATGTGGCTGTTAGTGAAGCAAAGAATATAGGAATCCTTCACCCATCCCTCACCTTATAAAGTGTGGCCTCTGGGGTTTTCTGTTTTGGCCGAAGGTACCAAAAGGGTTAAGTTACAGCTGGAGGCGGAGTTGTGCAGAGTGTTGATAACTCCGTGCTTCCTACTCTGAGACATCTCAAAGCCCTTAACGCTTCAGACATTAAATGTCCTGCTGCATATTTGCCTGTTTACAAAGATTACTCAAAAATGGACTATAAATTCAAAAATTACACAAGCCATATTACTTGCTACAAGACTAAATTGTTCTTAAATGGAGGCCACATAAGCCACTGCAAGGAGTAAAGTTAGAGTAAACTTCTGAAAAGCTGTGTATTTAATGATCATAGAACGTTGCTTTTCTGTCTCACATTCTTTTTAACAAACTGGTTCTAAAGGGTTTTGTCCTGTGAGGCAGTCACAGAGGTTTTTGTTGTCAATAAAAGACGAAAACTTTCCTGACCACAGCAGCTGGTTGAGATTAGGACAGTTTCTTGCCTGAGGAGGGAGCAAGAAGAGAGGAAGAAAAGCACATAAGAAAACTATGGAGGCAGTGAAATATTCTCTCATAGTTAGAGAAGAAGAGAAATACCGTCAACTTTTCCCTGGTCCTCTCCTGGCGAGGGCTGGAAAAATAACAGAATTTAGGCATGGAAAAGAAGAATGTTGTGAAGAAATGATCAGGAGGCAAAACTTAGTTGGGAATCTCTCCTTTGTGTGTTCTCCCAACCACCATCGTCCCCCTGGCACTTATCTACCGACCTTGTCCATCTCTTCCATGTCTGCTGGGGACATTGGAGGGGAGAGGCGCTGAGCCCATGATGACTGTCCATTTTCTACCCTGTTTCTGGTTGTCAGTGCAAGTGATTCTGTGTGTGTGTGTTGGGGGGGGGAGGGACATTGAACCTCCCTAGGTCAGAATACTTGGAACCAGATGTATCTGCACCCCATCCAAACCCAGGCCCCTCCTGACGGTCACCGTTTGGTTTACCATATGGAAATCACCCTCAGGTCTTTGTGTACCTTCTTTATAAAGCCCAGGTGGTTTGCATGGGTTGTTTTTTTTAATTATTATTTTTGTTTGTTTTTTGACTCATATAGTCCAGAGGAAGGGGATCTTAACTTCAGCTTCATGAACTCCCTAGAATTATTGTGTGTGCGTGCATTTTGCTGGTGAGAGGGATTATATTATGAGTTGCAAATGTTATTAGCTTCTCAAAGGAGTCTGTGACTCCCAAAGGTTAACAACCACCTGTTTGGGAATATGGCGCCAGGTATTTCCTCATCCTTAGCCAGGCTAGAACTTTCTTGGCATATAGGAAATTCTCCCCTAATTATCCCCATCTGCAGGATGTGGGGGCTCAAGTTTCTGCTGTTGCTGCCGGTGAGCTTTGCTCTATACCCTGAGGAGATACTGGACACCCAGTGGGAGCAATGGAAGAAGACCTACAGGAAGCAGTATAACAGCAAGGTGCCTGGGGACCTGAAGCAGAGCATGATGGGAGGGCTGAACCCGGGATCTCCAGTCCTAGCTTCCAGACTCCCTTCTACCCAAACACTTTAACCCCTCCAGCCTAGCACACCTGATCTTGTTTCCTAACTGTTAACTTCCATTTTTCATTCCTATGCCTTAAAACACCCTTCCTCAAGTCCTATCCTTAGTTTTCTTTATGCATGTCTTACATTCTACTTTTGGGAAAACTTCCCAGATTAATGCTATTAATCCATAAGCAACTCTCCTGTACATCTCTCCAGATCTCTGCATTCTATTTTTAAATTTATTTCTGCATGCTTAAGAACTCCGTGGTCACTTCCCTAACAAGGTTGTATACTCTCTGTTATTGTAACTTTTATCTTTTCTCCTAACCCCCCCCCCCCAATATTGCACATGGAACTGTACACCGGGGATGGTCTGTGCCAGTACTGAACATGCTCTGTTTAGGTGGATGAGATCTCTCGGCGTTTAATTTGGGAAAAAAACCTGAAGCATATTTCCATCCATAATCTTGAGGCCTCTCTTGGCGTCCATACATATGAACTGGCCATGAACCACTTGGGGGACATGGTGAGTTTAGCCTCAGCTTCTGGCCTACCTGCCCTGTTTGCCTTAGTTCCCTGCTTATGCCTGGCCTCTTTCTCCTTTGTCCCAGACCAGTGACGAGGTGGTTCAGAAGATGACTGGACTCAAAGTGCCCCCCTCTCATTCCCGCAGTAATGACACCCGCTATGTCCCCGACTGGGAAGGCAAAGTCCCGGACTCCATTGACTATCGAAAGAAGGGATATGTTACTCCTGTCAAAAATCAGGTACCCTCCTGCATCCTGGGAATGGGTGTGAGACAGCATGGCCTCTTCCTTTGGCTGTTTGTTTTTAAGGTAGGAGGGCACTAGGAAGAGGGAACAAGGAATTAAGGTTACTTCTCCCTGTGCTAATAGCCTATTTGACCATTTAGCTCATCTTCTGTGTTTATATATTTAGGTTGTTTCTGAGTTTTCTCTTTTTACAAATAGTGTTGCTGTAAGCACCCTTTTACATATATTTTTATACCCATGTACAAATATATATGCAAAATAAGTCCTAAAATTAAAATTGCTAGATCCTTTCCAAAAAAGTTTTACTGTCTTACATTCTCTTTCTTTTTAAATATTTTATTTATTTATTTTTAGAGAGAGGGGAAGGGAAGAAGAGTGGGAGAGAACTTTCTTACATTCTTATCAGCATAAGAATGCTGGTTTTCCCACAACCTTAACAATGTTGATTGTATCAACCAGATGAACAATTGATTTGACATTCATTCAACAAACATTTTTTTCAGGACCTATCTATCAGGCATGTGCTAGGCAGTAGAGATTCAAGATGACTAAGACATAATCTGTGTCCCCAAGAAATCCTTCATCTTAAAAAATAGAAAAGGAAAGAAAAATGTCTTAAACACTAATAATAGCTAGCACTTTTTACTATTAACGTTTTACAGGTAAGCAAACTGAGGCACAGAGAGGTTTAGTAACTTACCCAAGGTCACATATCTAAGGGGTTACAATGCGCACTCTGCTCTACTATTCTACTACAGCTAATGGGACAATGGTAACAACAGCAATTGAACAATGCACCGAAGGTTAAGTGAAGGGAAATAGGAAGACCTCACAGCAAGGGGGACGTGTACTCTGGAATTTCTAAAATCTGTGGAATGTCATCGGGCGGCAGGGGGAGGAGACGAAAAGTGTGAACAGCAAGGACTGATAGTTTCTTTGTTGTGCCTCCCAGGGTCAGTGTGGTTCCTGTTGGGCTTTTAGCTCTGTTGGTGCCCTGGAGGGCCAGCTGAAGAAGAAAACTGGCAAACTCTTAAATCTGAGTCCCCAGAACTTGGTGGACTGCGTGTCTGAGAACGATGGCTGCGGAGGCGGCTACATGACCAATGCCTTCCACTACGTGCAGAAGAATCGGGGCATTGACTCTGAGGATGCCTACCCATACGTGGGAGAGGTGAGACTGGCCTGCACTGTCATACAGCCCTGTGAGGGCCCCTGCTGCCCCAGCGTGGTATTCTCTGCTGGAAACAATTCCCGGAATCTTGTTTTCTGTTACCTTGTCCTGCTTTGTTGTTGGGATAATGGCCCACAGAAGGCCAGGAAGACTCCCAGAATCTGGGAGAATTTTGGGAGTTCAGGCTACCATAGATCTTGTCTGCCTCTCTGCCCTGGAGGAAAAAACAGCAGACAGGTTATTCCACAGGTCTCTGAGGAGGTATCTGTAACCCTCAGTGCAACTCCTCCACTCCCATCACACATCTAGTTTCATGAATCATGTGTCTTTGTTTTGTATGATCTCAGTGTGGGTTTGGGGAATGTTTAAGCAAGTTGCACATTAACATGCTAACCTGTATAAAATGGGAGAAAAAACAAGTTACTTCACATTTGTTGTAATTTTAGAGATCAATTTACTTCGTCCTATACAATAGTTTGGCAGTAGGTAGGAGCTCTTTCTTACCCAAAATGAAGTAGATCTGAGGGCTACTTACATACATGGGGTTGATAGATAATATAATATGGGGCCTTGGCAACAGGAGTCTTTGAAGAAAGGAATGCAACCTTTAGTAATGAAAACGATGGCTGTTATGTGCTAAGCCATGTGCTTAGTGCATTTTCTGATTTAATTGTCTATAACAGCCCTGTGAGGTAGATATACCCTCACTTGGTATATCTTCAACTTTACTAGATAGGTTAATATCAAATATTTTACCAAAGTATTTGGAAAAAATTATATTCCCACATTCAATGTATAAGAATCGCATTGACTCACTCTTTTTTTTAAAGATATTATTTATTTTTAGCCCTGGCTGGTGTAGCTCAGTGGATTGAGCGTGGGCCTGCAAACCAAAAGATCGCGGTTGAGTCCCAGTCAGGGCACATGCCTGGGTTGCAGTCCAGTTCCCAGCAGGGGCCAGTTCCCAGCAGGGGTCGCATGAGAAGCAACCATACAGTTATATTTCTTTCCCTCTCTCCTTCCCTTCCCCTCTAAAGATAAATAAATAAAATCTAAAAAAAAAAAAGATACTATTTATTTATCTTTAGAGGGGAAGGGAAGGAGAGAGGGAGAGAAACATCAATATATGGTTGCCTTTCGTGTGTCCTCTGCTGGGAACTGGCCTGCAGGGAACTGGACTGCAACCCAGGCATGTGCCCTGACTGGGAATCGAACTGCGATCCTCTTATTCTCAGGCTTGTGCTCAATCCACTGAGCTATACCAGCTAGGGGGCCATTGACTCACATCTCTAAAAGGAATAGTTCTCAATGACAGTTGACATTTGGTCTTGATGTGGCTTCTTTATATCCTTAGTAACAGGAGTTCTGTTCATCTAGTCTTCAGATGGTCCTCAGGGGTGGCTGCTGTGTAATTTAGTTGTAATTCTCATGTGGCAGAGAGAGGAATGAGTGCAGTGTTTACTTATCCCACCATCCCAACTAGGAGGAAGTCTCACGTCTCCAGCAGTGTGTGTCTGTGGCCCCTGCCTTTCTTCTTCAGCCAATCGATCGTTTATGGCTTTTGCTTATTTTGATTAGGTTGATAATGTTTATCTTTGCACTCTCTTTATGCTATCTTTCAATCTAGAAAAACTCTTAATTTTTGTGTAGTAAAATTATTAATTTTTTCCTTGAAAAAATCCAAAAGCAGTGAGCTTTAGTCATTTGGCTTTAGTCATCTGAAGTGATGTCTGCTGCACTAAAATGCTCATTCATGTAAATGACTGAACAAGTCCATTTCCCTGGATACTCAGCAGCCTACACGTTAAGGCATTTCAGCACATCCTCATGAGCCTGGCCACATGAGAACAGTACTTTATTTTAGAAATGCCACTCCTTGTTGTGAGTTTTATTATTCCATGTTACGGGTTTTTAGCTATCATGTTTACAAGGCAGAGAAAGTGGAGGTTGTATTTGGAAACAAAAAAAAATTCTTTAACCTGTACGCAATTGCGAGAACTGCTGGGTCCCAAGTCCATGGTTGGACTCTGGGGCTGCTACTGTACTGTGCAGCATACTAGGGCTGCCTGACAGATTAGCTTTTTAATTCTGAATACATCTGGCTAATTAGTGAGATAACCTTAATTTGGCAAAATATTATTTTTTAATTGCCAAATACCCTTTTGACAACTTTTTGTAGTCACTTAATATAAAAAATTAAACCCCAACTGTATACATAAAAACCAGGTTTATGTTCATAATTTTTCCATATTGATTAACCCAGGAAGCCAATTTAAAGGCTTATGTAATTGAACTGTATTACAGAAAAATAAATACTATCGACTAGTAGTTGATCTCTCATCCGTGAGCAGCGTGCATCATTTATTCATTTCTACATTAACCACTTTGTTGGGAGATAGTTGAACTATTACCTCAGAGACTCTAAATAATTTAAATGAAAATTATGTAATATTTGAAACCCTATTTCGGACTAGAAGGAGCATTTGACTTCTAATATCCGTTCTTCCGCCGTCCGCCTGCCCCGCCATGAACTCTTCAGCATTTTAGAGGATTTGGGTTTCTTAATCAGTTAAAATGAGAATTAGTCATAAAAGACACACGTGCCATTTTTAATATTCTGAGTTTTGGGCAGCTGTTCTCTTGTATCCAATTTATGGTTTTTAAAAGCAGTTATTGTCCAAAACTGAAAGGATTTTTTCACATGAACATGTGAATGAATGAAAAGGAAGAGGTCTGGCAGGACAGCCTCCAGGCAGCACCGTGATGGAGGCTCATTCCAGCCATAATGTTGGTCACTCTGATTTTACAGTATCTTCTCATGACACCGCCTTCAAATTCCCAAGATATTTTATTTTATTTTATTTTACTTGTAGGTCTGTGCAGTTTTTGGTACCAGGAGGCATCAAGGGTTTAGATATGACAGAGAACAAAAAAATCTTGAGAAATTATTAAGACAGGATATCATGTAATCTTAGAATATCACGTCAAATGCCACAATTAGGGAATATAATGGCCACCCACGTCAAGGTGGTGTATTCTTTTTGGCAGTTCATCATCCTACAGGTGGCCCCTTCCAAACCCAGAGTTATAGCTATGAGAACACGTGATCTAAATATTAACAGTGATGGCAGCCCTCCCAGCCTCACACGCACTACAGGCCCAGAAGATGGTTTGTGCTTTAAAAAAATACCCTATTTGAGAAATCTTTCTCTACACCGAGATTATAAAAATTTTATTTCCTTCTCTCTTTTTAAAGTTTTATAGTGTTTGCTTTTACATTTATATATTAAAACCACCTGCAACTGACTTTTGTGTGTGTTGTGAGGTGGGTGCTTTTCCCATTCTTTTTTGCAGGGGTCTGAAATGGTGAGGACAGCAGCCCCTCCCTAGAGACTAGTCACTAACCCTGTTAGTTCACTGACATCACTGCAAACATTGTTGGAGTTTCTCACTCACCAGTTCATTGCCTGTTGCTTTGTCCTAGCCCTGTTTCAACCTTGTTTTTTTTTTCCCCAGGATGAAAGTTGTATGTACAACCCAACAGGCAAGGCAGCTAAGTGCAGAGGCTACAAAGAGATCCCTGAGGGGAACGAGAAAGCCCTGAAGAGGGCAGTGGCCCGAGTGGGACCCATCTCTGTGGCCATCGATGCAAGCCTGACTTCCTTTCAGTTTTACAGCAAAGGTAAGGAGCTGCTCCTGTGGAGCATGTCAGCCATCTCACCTCCTGTGGGCTTGGCAGCTTCTCAAAGGGCACTGGGCATTTTCGGTACTTAGTTTCCATATCCTGACTGAGTCTGCCAAACAGACACTACCAGCTGCTGCCACACGGAGCATCTCTGATGTAAGCCCTGCTGACTGAGACAGGATTCCACAGAGGGCCACCTAGAGTGGGAGCCCCCCAGGGAGCCCCTCTATTACAGAAAGCTTCACCTTGATGGATTGCTTCCTAGGTGTGTATTATGATGAAAACTGCAATAGTGACAATCTGAACCACGCAGTTCTGGCAGTGGGATATGGGATCCAGAAAGGAAAAAAGCACTGGATAATTAAAAACAGGTAAGGATGGAAGCCCTGCGTCTGTTGGTCACTCACCCTCTGAACACTCGGACTCAGCTCTAGCTTCCCAGTATGCCTTTCTTACTCCCAAACCAAGTTAAAGTTGTCTCAGACTTTTCAGTTCCACCTTCCTAATCAGAAGCTTTTTAAAAAAAGATTTCATTTACTTATTTTTAGAGAGGGGAGGGGAGAGAGAAAGAAATATTTGTGTGGTTGCCTCTCGCACACCCCCTACTGGGGACCTGGCCCACAATCCAGGCATGTGCACTAGCCTGGGAATCAGGAAACCAATGACCCTTGGATTCGCAGGCCGGCACTTGATCCACTGAGCTACACCAGCCAGGGCCTAATCAGAAGCTATTAATTTTACATTTAATGGCCAGATGCTAGTACTCAAAGTATGTGTTACACAGCTGCCCCAGGTGCACGGTGCTTAGTCACAACAGAACAGGATGTCTACCTTCAGCGACTTCCCAGTCCCCTAAGGAAGGTAGACCTAGCTAACCAGAACATAAAGTAGCCAAATCCAGCAGGACCTTTGGAATTACTTATATTTTTCTTTCCTTTTTACTCTAATGTGAACAAGTTCTTAGGGAGGTTTGCATCATCAGTCTCTCTCTGTGCAGTAGGGAACAGTGTGAAGGTTTAATACCCCTTTGTGCAGCTTTTTGCCCTTCTGGGTACACTTAGGATAAACATATACAAGAACTGGCCAAAGATTTTAAAGTCTGTGAAGCGCATTGCTTTTCAGAAAGTAGATAAGCATAACAACAACAAAATGTAGTGTTTCCTTCTGTATTATTCGGAACAAATAAAACTACAGGGTAACTTGGCTCCCTTGTGACTTGGGGTGAGGCAGATTTATGAAAATTACACTTTTCCCTTCTTGATTGGTCAACGAGAGGCGGGGATTGCTTCCAACCTGAGGCGACTTTTTATATCACAGTCCGGCTGAGCACCATCCTATGAGGGTGTTCCTTTTGCTAAAGCTTCTGTCCTGTGTTTTTCGTTTCTCAGCTTCCAGCCCGAATGCTCACTTACTATGTCCTGTCTTTATCGGGTGCATTCAGGAGAGGTGGACGGAGTAAGGGACACCAGGCAGGATCACACCAGGCAGGATCAGGATCACTGGGATCCTGGGAGAAGGGAACAGGGGTGGGGTGCAGGTCTTAAGTAAAACGTGTTGGGTGATTAGAGAATTTGCTGGTTGGGGAAAAAGGACAGAACACTCAGGAAAACAATTTAGGAAGATTGATATCCCATCTCTTTCTCTCTCTCTCTCTCTATATATATATACACATATATATATGTATATATATATATATATACACACATACACATATTATATAGAGATATAAACATAAATATTTATATAGATGTAGATATACACATATTAATCTTCCATTCTTTCCACTTGTTTTCTTAGCAACCTCATCCATTATCATAGCTTCATTCATCTTTCTTACAGGTTTTATTCCCAAACCCAAATCATCAAATTCAGCTTTTGTTGCCTCTTTCTTATGTTCTAGCCTCATGTTTTCAACATCACTCTTTCTGAAACACAAATCAGATGATATCACTCTCCCAATCAGAAACCTTCAGTGTCTCCTCCACTACGATGGGCCACAGAGTCCAAGTCTTTAGCCTGGTAGTAAAAATAACTCAACCTGATCTCCACCTCCCTTTCCAGACTTACCTCTCACTACACCCTTTCTGGCACCCTATTTTTCAGCCGCAAGATCTTAACACATGCCCCATGCTTTCCTGCCTGTGTTACTCATTCCCCACTGCTCCACTGTCATCCCATTTCCACAGGTCCCATTTCTATCCAACCTTCAGGCTCAGCTCAAATGCTGCCTCTTACATTAAGTCTCTTTTGATCCTCTTGATCAGAAACAATCTCTCCTGCCTTTGAGACCTGTAGTATTATGCCTTCTCTCCATTTGTTGGCCTTAAACTCTTTAAAGATAAAAACTGTCTTACTCATTTTTGTATACCATTAATTCCTAGCACAAGGGTTAGTGTTTTAGTGGATAAATAATTGACGGTACTAAGTATTTTTCTTGATTGATCCTACAGCTGGGGAGAAAATTGGGGAAACAAAGGCTACATCCTAATGGCCCGGAATAAGAACAACGCTTGTGGCATTGCCAACCTGGCCAGCTTCCCCAAGATGTGACTTCAGCCAGCCAACCCCATCGTGCTCTTCTGCTCCTTCCATGATGGTGCAGCGAAGTGATGCACTTTGGAAGGGAGTTGGTGTGCCCTTCTTGAAGCAGATGTAGTGCTACAGAGATTGTCTGTTCAGTCTCCCCATTTGTTTGTGCTTCAGGGGACACTCCTAGACTGCTTTCCTTCTCTCCACCCAAGGCCTGTATTTTTCACTGTGGCCGCAGTAGGAATTTTCCTAACAGCTGTGCATCCTTAGACTAGAGATGTGACCACAGCCTGCCTTGGCCCCGTTGTCCTGGGGCTGCGGCTGTGCAGATAGGTAGACGACAGAGATCATCAGGCCGATGCTCGTTCACAGGGCCCAGGTGGCTTCAACCATCGTGGGGGGCTAAGGTGATCTGACTTGTCAATCTACAAGTTCACTTCTTCTGTATCCCAAGGTAGAAATACCTATGTTTTATACCTGATTCATAAATCTATTCATCAGGTTTTGGTGCAAGTTAACATGATACAGGAAATGTGTTTCCTTTTTCCTTCTTTGCATATTTAAAGTGAACCAAGTATTTATCTTTTGTCTCTAACTTAATAATTAGCTGTTTTGTAACCACTCATTTTGTGTCGGATACTGTGCTAGGTGCTGGAGACAAAAAGGCAAATAAAATGTATCCGTTATACTTGTCATGCGCATAGTCTGTGTGGGGAGAACATCGCATAAATAATTCCTCTTGATTTATTTGTTCATTTCTTCAATCAACTTCTAAAAGTGCTTACCCTGTGCTAAGAACTGTACTAAAGGGATTAAATGGATATAAGAAAATCTCAATGTTTAATTCCACTTTAGGGGGACCAGATTAAGTGGCACATAAACCTGAGTCTTGAAAAATATCTTAAGGCCTTCTGAAGTTCTAGAACTTAAACTTACGCTTTCACCAAAAAAGGACATTGAAACTTTTTTTTTAAATCCTCATCTGAGGACATTCTTTTATTGCTTTTTTTTAGGAAGAGAGGGATGGGAAGAGAGAAAGAGAAACATCGATGTGAGAAAGAAACATTGTTTGGTTGCCTCTTGTAGGCTCCCCAACCAGGGATCGAACCTGTGACCCTTTGGTGTGTGACCCATCGGTGTATAGGTCAGTGTTCTAACCGACTGAACCACACCGGCCAGGACAAAACTTGTTATAATGGTTTCCAAGCAGTATTAATGTTTTACAGAATGCTTATTACCACTAAAGAGAGTGCATATTTAATTAAATGCCTGTGTGTTAGGCATTATTAATTTTACTGTATGCAAAATTATTTATTTTTGTATATAAATATTTATGACCATATGTTATGCAGTGCATTTAAAGGTACGATAATGAAATAAATAAGACATTGCCCAAACCTCAGGAATGCTATAGACTAGTGATAGACATACGAACAACTAATAATACCAACCATAATAAAGCAAATACTAATTATGCAAACTCAGGAATGAGTCATCAATTCTCTTATGTTTTAAGATTTCATTATTTTTTTTAGAGAGAGGAGAAGGGAGGGAGAAAGAGGGAGAGAAACATCAATGTGCAAGAGAACTATCCATCAGTCGCCTCTTGCATGCCTACAACCAGGGACCTGGCCCACAACCCAGACACATGCCCTGACCAGGAATCCAACAGGTGACCTTTTGCCTCCCAGGACAGTGTCCAACCCACTGAGCCACACCAGCCAGGTCTTGAGTCATTAATTCTTAATGGAATTTTAGATGAGGCTTCACTGAGAATAGAGCTTTGAAAGATCTGAACGGACAGAGAAGATGAATGGGAGGAGAGAGGGCATATCACAGGCCAAAAGTCCTGGGTGAAGCAAGGCACCGAGAGAGCTGTGTGTGTGAATGGTTAGCTGGGGTGTCTCAAGTTGAGGGTGCAAAGGCATACCTGATAGAGCTGAGGTGAGAAAAGTAGGTTGGAGGGAAATCTTGGAAGGCCTCGAATGCCTTCCATGTCTCCAGAAGTGTGTATTTTATAGACACACAGGCATCAGGTTTTTGGTTTTTTTTTTTAGCAGGAGAGACATGATCAGATCTGTATTTAGCAATATTCCTCTGGCAGTGGTGTAAAGAACAAATAAACATGCAGAGCAGAATGAAGATGCAAGACACTGGAGGAAAGTCAACATGTAGAAGACACTATACATACATGTACGCTATTTCTTCTCAAAGAAAGACACTTTGCAGAAGAATGACTCCTGAACTCTTTTGAAGCTAGAGTATGAGTTTGGCGGACATGGAGTTAGGAAAAGGCATTCCAGATCCAAAGGATAGCACATTCAAATGTGCAGGCAGGAGAGAGCATGGTCAGCAATCTGCAAGTAGCTTTTCTTGAGCTTTGAAGGACCAAAGACAAACTTGGGAGAAATCAGACTCCACTCAGCAAATCTACACAGTTTTGTTACGTCTATCTGGGATTTTTTCCCTTCTGCCTAAAGAACATCCTTTAGAATTTCCTTTTGTGTGGATATGTGAAAAACAAATTTACCCCATTCCTATATGTATTTGGGTTTATTTCTAGATTTTCTATTCTGGTAGGTGAATATGTTTATCTGTACTCGACCAGAATTCCACATTTATAGTTTGTTTCAATATCCAACAGGATTAGTGTTCCCCTTATTAACACAAGAAGTGTTAATAGATTTTCCCCTCAATATTCTCCTTTTAATTTTTTCCATGTGCTCTTTCAAATCAGCTTGTCGAGTTATCAAAAACCCTCCCAGTATTTTTTATTTGGATCACATTAAATTTATGTTTTTAAATTAGGGGAAATTGACCTCTTTATACTACTGGATCTTTCTGTCTAATAATAAGAGATGCTTTCATATTTTAAAAAATATTTTATTTATTTATTTTTAGAGAGTGGGGACAAGGAGACAGAGAGGGAGAGAAACATCAGTGTGTGGTTGCCTCTCATGTGTCCTCTACTGGGGACCCGGCCTGCAGCCCAGGCATGTGCCCCGATTGGGAATTGAACCAGTGACCTTTTGCTTCACAGGCCCGCACTCAATCCACTGAGCCACACCAGCCGGGGCTGCTTTCATATTTTTTTAAGTATGCTTTTGTGTCCTTCTTAGAGATATTGCTCACTTCTTTCTAACCTTTTTTTCCTGGGAGTTTATCTTTATTATTTTTGCAGTTTTAATGGGGTCTTTTCTGATATAATTTCTAATCAGACATATCAAAAGCTATTAATTCTATCAGATTTGTTTTTGTATTCAGCTATCTTACCTTGAGTTGTCTTTGTTTATGCATTTTTCAGTAGATTCTGCCAGATATTTTTGTGTATATAAGTGTATCATCCACAGAGGTAAATATTACCCCTTTCTTTCTGATTTTTATCTCTAACTTGTTATTTCTTATCTTTTTGCTTTAGTTATGACCTCTAAATGATGCTAAGCAATAGAATTGATATATCCTGGCCTAGAAATATGATTATTTTCATAGATGTATAAAATTCTACTGTAAAGATGTACATAATTTATTTCATTAAACCCCAATAGACCAACATATACATTGTTTCCAGTGTTCTGACAAAGTATTCATGATTGATACTTTGACACAAAACAGTTTGTAAATGAGCATACAATCAAATCTGCCATTATATAGTTGTTATTTCTTTCATAGTAATATTATCTAACATTCATTGAGCTTTACTGTGCATCCCCTACCCTGTTAAATGCTTTACCTACACAGCACTCGTTATTGCCATGCTCCAGATATCAAGTAGTTTGCCCATATTTACCTAGTTAGTAAGTGGTTGAGCCAGGATTCAGACCCAGATCTTGTTCATTTTCTGCCTCCAATTTTCCGATCTTGTTTCATCTCCCCGTGTGTGTGTGTGTGTGTGTGTGTGTGTGTGTGTGTGCGCGTGTTTAAACCAAGCCCAGATATTTCACTCAACAATACTCGTTACACATCTTTGAGTGAAGAATTTATTTTTGCATTAGCACACCTAACCAAATTAACAGTTGTTTCTTAATACCATTCAATGTTTAGTCCATTTTTAAATGTCTGCAATTTTAAAGGTATCTTTTTACTGTTAGTCTACTCAAATCAGTATCCGAATAGTTTTATACATTGCATTTGGTTGATATTAAGTCTACTATGTTCTTCGACAGTCTCTTCCCTACCTGCACTCCCTCCAAATAGTTTTTTTCTTTTGATTGACTTCAAGGAGAAGCCAACTCATTTGTTCAGCAGAATGTCTTACACTGTGGATCTCGCTGGCTGCCTGCTCTTTCTAAACCCGAGGTCCCAGTGCTCTGTACTGCCATCTGCTGTTTCTCACCATCCTTCAGAGACGTTATGAGAAGGAAATAAAACTTATAGGTGACAGCCTATTAAAGTTTTAGTGGCACAGGTATTATTAAAATCCCGGACAGTTTAATTCTTTAAAAAAAATCTTTATTGATTTGAGAGAGAGAGAGACAGAGAAAGGGAAGAAGAAACTGATTTGCTCTTCCACCCGTTTTTTTTAAAAATCCTCGCCTGAGGTCAGGCTTATTGATTTCAGAGAGAGGGAAACATTGATGTAAAAGAGAAACACTGATTGGTTGCTTTTTGTGCATGTCCCAACTGGGGACCAAATGTGCAACCTTAGGCGTGTGCCCTGACCTGGAGTCAAACCCACAACTCTTCTGTTTGTGGGAGGATGCTCCAACCAACTGAGCCACACTGGGCAGGGCATTCCATCCAGTTTAAGCATTCGTTGGTGGTTTCTTCTCTGTGCCCTGACTGGGGATCAAACCCACAACCTTAGCATACCTGGACGAGGCTGTGACCAACAGCCACCCCGCGAGGGCTGACAGTTTATTCTTTTACATTAGTGTCCTTTTGGCTTAACTTCGAGGCTCTTCCACCCTTGAAAACCGTTCAGGAATCATTGGCAGGCTTCATAATACTTCACAAGCTGAGTCTGTCCACGGACTTCAGGAATGTGGTTGTTCACTTCTAGGCATTTATAGCCTGAAGACTTGAGTTTTTGAGACTACCTATGTAGATTTTACAGGGTAAAAATGCTATGCTTTTGCAGGTGACAGATCATATACATAGAAAAATTCTAAAGAACTTACTGAAAAACTTAGAATTAATAAATGAGCTTGGCAAAGTTGCAGGGTGCAAGATCAGAATACATAAATCAATTTTATTTATATGCAATAACAACGAACCAAATAAAAATGAAATTAAGAAAGCAATTTCATTTATAATAACATCATAAAGAGTAAAATATGAAAAAACAAATTTAAAGAAGTCCAAAACTTGTCCTCTGAAAACTATAGAACACTGTTGAAAGAAGTTCAGAAGACCTAAGTAAATGGAAGGACATGCCATGTTCATGGATTGGAAGATAATATTAGGATGGCAGTACTCCTCAAATTGATCTGGAGGTCCCAAACAATCTCTCTAAAAATCCTAGCTGTCTTCTCTGTAAAAATTGAAAAGCTGAACCTAAATCCATGTGGGCATTCAATGGATTCAGAATAGCCAAAACAGTCTTGAAAAAGAATAAAGTTGGAGGATTCATATTTCCCAGTTTCAAAACTTAACTACAAGCCAGCAGTAATCAAGACAGTGTATTACTAGCATAAGGATAGGATATAGACCAATGGGACAGAATTAAGAATATGGAAATAGGCTCTTTCA